ATGCACATACTACATACACCATACACACCACACGCACAGACATACCACACACACATACACCATACACACCACACACACAGACATACCACACACACATACACCATACACACCACATACACCATACACAGGCACAACACACATACACAACACACACATACTACATACACCATACACACCACACAGACATACCACATACACCATACACACCACATACACCACACACACCATACAAATACACACCACACACACAACACACAACACAGACACATCACACACACACATTCACACACACCACACCCTTTCCCCCACATACACATATACATAACACATACACACACACTGTAACCATCTCCCTCTCTCTCACATTTGCTCTCACAGAGGCTTCCTGCAGAGTCACACAGTAATGACTGTCAATTGCTGAGCTCCCAGGGTCTGGACACAGCAGGCAGCAGGATCCCTCGGAATAAGCACTTTGGTCAATGCCTGGGGTGGTTTGTCTTTGTCTTGACTCCATCTTGCCTTTCTTGCCACAAGGGATCCATTTTACCACTGGGGCCAAGCACTGAAGTGTGTCAGCCAGTAAAATGGGGCCATAAACAAAGGGCAGTAAGATTATTAAAGGACACAACCCTCGGTACTTTCCATCAGAAGGACGTGGGGGGGAGCGGGTGGTGGTAGGTAGGGGGTTGGAGAGCAGTCCTGTGAGGGCCCCAGAGCTGCTCTGGGACCAGTTACAGGAGGGTCCCCTTACAGAAGGGTCCGGGGGGAGTAGACAAGCCAGTCAGGGTGCAGGGTAGCAACGATGAAACATACAACTTTCCTCTAGTTCCTAAATGCTTCCTCCCCCACACTATCATGATCCCAATTCTACCTTACAAAGCTGGCTAGACCAGAGGATGTACACTGGTACAGATAGGAACTGGAAACAAAGGGAATCCAGGACAGATGACTCCTCCAGGACCAGTGGTGAGCGTGGAGGGTGGAGGGAAGGTGGGGTAGAAAGGGGGAACCGATTACAAGGATCTACATATAACCTCCTCCCTGGGGGA